GTATTCACACCCATTGTCTGATCTCAATACTTGAATTTTAGTGTAAAATTGATTTTGAATCAGTGTGAAATTTTTGAAAAATTTGGCCAAGTTCAGATTTTTCTTTCATGAGAAAGATCCAAGTAATTTTAATGTGGTCATCAATAAAAAATACAAATCATTTTATCTCGGTGATATTAGTAATCCGAGAGAGACCCCATACATCACTATGGATTAATGAAAAAAGTTTTGTGGATTTATAAACTGAATTGGGAAATGAATTTTGAATATGTTTGGACAGTTAACATACTTTGCATTGACATGAAATTGGACTTTTATTTCGAAACAAAGTAGGAAATAGCTTTTTCAAGTACAAGAAATTAGGATGTCCTAAACGGTAATGCCATAACATGATGGGGCATTCCCTATTTAAATTGTTTACAAATTCAGAATTAATACATACTGTATAATGAGTTTGTCCACTAAGAGAAGAGTTGGCAGCTTGCAGTAGATAAAAACCTGAATCCATACTAGCACTGCCAATCGTCTTCCCTGAGTTCAAGTACTGAAATTCACACAAATTAAAGTTAAATGTAGCTATGCAATTCAAATCCTGTGATAGTTTGCTTATTGACAGGAGATTGCAATCCAAATTTGGAACGTATAGCACAGAGTACAAAATTAACTTGGGTGACAGTGCAATTATTCTTGTTCCTTCGATTTGGGAACTAGAGCAATCAGCAATTTTAATTGAGAATTTACCTCTTCACTTACTGTATTCCTTAAATAGTGAGATATCCCTGTTCATATGATCGAAAGCACCTGAGTCAATAATCCACATTCTCTTTTTTGAGGAATAAGTTGAGAGACAAAAAAAATTACCTTTGTGAGCTATGGAAGCATTACTGAGAACTATATTGGGAGAAAACATTTTTTGGAGGAGGCTGATCTGTTCAGGACTAAATAGAGGGCTTTCGGTAGGAACGGCTGAAGCTGATTCCTCCTCAGTTGAGACAAAATTGCCCCGATGAGTCTCCTGCTTTGGTGTCTTCTTTTCAGTTGGCTTCCCGTGAAGCTTCCAGCATCTTCCACGAACTTGCCCAGGCTTTTTACAGTATTCGCACCATGGCCATCCCTTCCGCTTAGTCACCCGACTTGTGAGAGCTACACCATTCTCGGGTGAGAGAGAATTGCTTTCAGCAAGGCTAGGGCTGAGTTGCGATTCACCCATCATCACCTTTTTCCTGCTTTCTTCGCGTCGAACCTCAGAGAACACTTCTCTGATATTCGGGAGAGATTTGGTTCCAAGGATGCGTCCTCTTAACTCATCGAGGTATTTGTTCAGTCCGAAGAGGAATTTGAATATTCGTTTATGTTCCATGATGCTTTGGAATCTCTTGGCATCCTCGGGACAGCTCCAAGCATGTTCCTCAAAAGCGTCAAGCTGCTACTATTTTCGGGTAAGAAAATTGTAATATTGAGTTACCGTCTTTTCTCCTTAGCAGAGGTTGTGAATACTTGCTTCGACTTCGAAGATGGCGGAAGTATTGTCACGAGTGGAGTAGAACTCACGGGTTGCGACCCAGATATCGTGTGTAGTCTCATAAGGAGAAAATTTTCTCCAATCTCGGTGGTCATTGAGTTCACCAGCCAAGACATAATAAGATTGTTCTCTACTTTCCATGTCCGAGCATTTGGATCATTCGCAGGAGGTAGTGAAAGCTCTCCAGTGAGGTATTTGTCCCGGCCTTTCCCTCGGATGAACATTAACATCGAGGATGACCATTGAAGATAGTTATTGCTATTTAGTTGATGGTCAGTAACAAAAGGAGCCTGATCAGCAAGAGCATGGCTGTCAGGCTCCGGAAGATAGGAGCCCGAAAGGACTTCGGGCGGTGAAGAAGTCTGTTCATCAATTGCTTATTGAATGCAAAAGGGATGCTGAAGAATTTGGATCAGGTAAGCTCTGATACTATGAAGATTTTGAGAGTAGGAAAAACTCCTTTTTTCATCTTATTACATCAATGATTAGTGCTTCATTTTCTAGGCAAAATAAAGGGGGGAAAAAAATTAACAACTTTTTCTAGTGGAATGAATAATCAGCAAATGACAGTTAGCATTCTGTTACGGTTCCTGATTCAACAATAAGTTATCTAACAAATAATGAAAACAGAAAGCAGTAACAGTAATTGTAAATACAACTTATTCCTAATATTTCTACGGGTACATCGAAAATTGTCTCTGCTATCTATTCCCGATGTTGAGTTATCAAAGTACTCATTTCCTTTGTCTATTGACGAGGTTTAGAACCTCGTGAGATCAAGGTAAACATCAGTGGGATGAGGTTCTACCATAGCCCATCTTCTACTCTCTTCCGCTATTACAATGTTAATGAACTTTTTGAGTGATGACATTTTTTATTTTTCCAAAATTGGACTAATATATGAACATATTTAGGATTTTGTCATGTCAGAAATTAAGAATAAACTTCTTGAGATGGGCTGTTGTTACAGTTAATGTTAATATTGTGATACTGATCCAATTCTTGCCACTAACTTTTTGAGAAGTTAGAATATTTATTTATTGACATGTTCCTTTGCTTAGTGGACCATGTCTTGACCATCATGTCATAAATTTGTGCAGCATCCTTAACTTTTACTCACCGATTGCGTTCCACACTACTTTCGTTGTGGGCAGGAACATCACCGTCTTTCTTATTTCTAGAGCCTTGAAGTTTTATAGTCATGCCATAATCATATAGTCTTTTTCGTCTCAAGTATCAAATATGGGTTCTCTGGTGTCAGGACTCGGGTACATGGTTCTGATTTAAGACAATATGTATTCGGATTTGAAAGAAAGAAAGGGAGAGTGATAGAAAAATAGAAGGATTTGAGAAAGATAGAATACGAATATCAAAAGGAAGAGATAGAAAATCAAAGAGGAAAGATAGATGTTGAGACATGATAGAAATCTGAGGGAGATAGTGATAATGTATTCAAAATATTTCATTCATTGATTCCTTATATATATGAAGATTGATGATTTATATAGAAAGAAAATATACATAATCAAGTAAATAGATAGTTCATCTTCCACGGAAGCCCAAAGGGTTGTAGAGAAAATCCCCAAATTCATTGAATGAAGATGGAAGAGGACATGGCTAATTAAGTGAGAGCTTGAAACCTCTCGAGTTTAGATTTCCAGCAAACATTTCTATAGTTCTCTTCGTGCATCCCTGCAGATCTTGTATTTTCTAGTCTATTCTTCTCTATTTGTACTCAGATCCTTACATCTTGGTTTAATCTGGTACCCAGAAAATGGTAGAGCTTGCCATTATCTTTGAGGGTGGTCTGAATTAATTGGGACTAACTCAAATAATTTTTACTTATGAAATAATAAGTCACCTAGATTAGATGAAATTCACTTATCGGATTTCCCATGTAGGAGTGTGTTCCAATATTTTGAGATGTTACCTCCGATATCCTTCATGAGTTATATAATAATTAAGGTTGAAGGAAAAAATTTACAGGAACACAAGAGGCTGCACGATGAGGGAAACTGCAACTTGCAGTTGATCTGCTTCTGCATGGCTGATCCGGCAGGATGGAGCTAGACATAGGCTGTGCATAAATGAGTGCAGAATAGGGCAGCAGCTGGAGCAGGCCAACGGAAATAGAGGTAGCTGACATGGGGGCAAGGCACGCACAAAACAAAGCATACCAAAACAAAACGGTTTAGGGTTTTTGCAGTTTGTCTGGATTGTGCACAGATATCCGATGTGTGGACCAGTGTTTGCACGGCTAACCAAGTCGGCAACGGTAAGGGCTACACATGTAGATGAGTAAAGGACTGTGCACAGAGGATTCGTCAGGACAAAGGTGTGGCAAGGACAGAAGTATTGCTGGGGCTGTGTAACAGCAAGAAGCGGCGATTGAAAGTGACTTGATTGCTGGAGCAGAGGGTGATGCATAGGAAGAGCGCATTTTGACACCACATCTCATGCCTTATTTTTGGTGTGGTCATGCTAGGATAGTGACCGCATCTGTGCAAGATGAACAGAGCAAATGGGACAGAGCAAGGTTGGGGCACCAAGATGAATTGTTCTGGATTTACGACTAAAGGGTTCTGGGTGCCGGCGATGAAGGTCAGTTTGGCTATTACTAGTGGCCGGGTTCAGTGATTGGCGGCTGATCTATAATGGTCGTGTATGAAGGCTAACTTAAGCCTGTTAGGATTTTTTTTATTTTATTTTGGCAATGAAAGTTGAATAGAATTTATAACTGAGGTTACGATTTCTTTAACATAGGATTCTAATACTATATTAAGAATGTTTAGATGTGTATTTTGTTAAATATTACAACCTTATATATACAGGTTTTTTAGGATGGAAAATAAAATATACAATTAATTAGATAGGGTGTAATACTCTTTAATTTAATTCACCATTTCTCTAACAGAGAGGAAAAGAAAGAATAAACTGGAATGCTCACAATCCTTTCACTTGCTTGGAAAACATAAACATCAGCAAAAAAGTGAAGGAAAATCTATTTATTTTCAGCCTCTAAATTGGGCTAAATTGAAGGAAGATGAAATAAAATTTTAATCTAAAGGTAAATTTTTATTTTATGTTTAACTTTCTAACTTATTATCTTATTAAGAAACCGTATCATTCACAATTTTCTTATAATTAAACACTTCCCTTTATAAACCTAAACTAACGTTAACAATCCTTTTTGTCCTCAAGTTTTAGTTATCCAAACAAGGCACCTTTTTTATCTTTCCTTTAAAATCCAGTCTATTTCTTTTTTTCTTTTTCTCTTTATTCCTTCACTAATTTTTTTAACATAATTTTCATCTTCCAAGTAGATGCATTGTATATTGTGGGAACCTGTTCAGTTACTATGTTTCTGCTTCTTGCTTTTTGACATCTCTGTTTTGGTGCAAGAATTACATCAAGTACAAACTTCATCTCAATTCAACTCTTCGTTGTTCCTGGATTGGTACTGTTTTAATCTTATCATATGGTTTGTCTTAGGTACCTCTTGCCATTATTGTTTCAGTACGACTCAACTGCAGAGGAATCTGATACTTTGGAGTCACATGGTGTTGGTGCTGTTGTTCAAATTGCCAAGAATATGCATGCTGTGCAAGCATCACAAGCCTTGTCTAGGCTTACTGGCTTGTGTACTGATGAGAGTTCAACTCCTTTCAACGCACCTGCTGTCAATTCCCTCAAGGCCTTGTTAACTCCAAAACTTGCCAGTATGTTGAAAGATCAAGCTCCCAAAGACCTATTATCTAAATTAAATGCAAATTTGGAGTCTCCCGAGGTAAATGTTCTGTTTTCTGTTGTTTTTTAAAGCTATTTGCTATGACATGGACACAACTGTTGGATATTCGCATAGAAATGTCATCTAATTGTATGAATTCGCACTCACAGGGGTTAGTCTTGTTAGTAAGTGAGGTGTGCTCCTTATCTTTGACAATTTGGATTCAATTCTTGTTGATAACATCCAATAATAAAATCCTAAATGTACTATGCTACTCTTTGGTTACTCTTATTCACCTAAGGAATTTACTATCAAGCAAATATCGGAGATAGCCTTGCTGTCCAATAAAAAACAATATACATGTGCACATATAACAATTTTTGTCTGTCAAATAGGTTATGTTTCTTATCTGCTCTCTTCTTTGCAGTTATTTGAACTTTGTCCCTGCACTTCTCTTCTCACCGATGCAGTAATTCTATTTGCTGTGATAATTATACTATATAGTGTGGTGATTTTGAGCAGTTGAAGGTTAAGAAATGAGACAGATTCTTATATCTGTCTACCTTGAAACTGAACTTGAAGGGACTCGCTTGTTCTTTCTGGACTTTTTCTGAAAAATGCTACTTCATTTTCTAACTTTTACAAGTTTAATTTACGAACAAGGCTCAATAAAATTTTTGTTGTCTTATGCCCTAGCTTTTGACCTTGTACCAAGTACCTTGTGAGGGATGTTTAAAAGTTTAAACCAATTTTTACTAAACAGCTTCCATCAAATTAAAAAAAATTTGAACACGAAAGAGAATGGTTCTACTTTGAGATTGACTTATCAGTTTTCTTCACTGAAGCTGTGTCCCCAGATCATAGCTTCAAGTGGAATAGAAAAGATTAGAGATCAAAATGCCTGACATTTTGTGTTCTGCTCGGTAGCTCTCTGTATTAAGTTTGTTGTTTGGAGTTTCACTTATTTGCCTTCCATTTGCTATGTTGGGAAATTTAATTTTGACCTAATGATCAGGAACATCCTAGGACTCTGTTTAATTCATGGTATCAGTATTCTCCTAGTTTTTTTCTGTGTTTGTTGTTTTTTGTTGTACAAACCCTGCTGAGAAACGACATTATGGTGCTACCTAAATTCCTATTGCTGTTCTTTTTTCTCCTTTTTCTGTATTCTGTATCGGTTGAAAATGTTGATATATTTACAAGCTAAAATCAGTAAACAAGGGACTAAACCAGGAGAGGCAGATCATGTTGCGGTGAAAAGGCTGTACTGCGGGTCCCACAAGAGGGGGAAGAAAACAATTTTTCTTCTTAAATGTAAAGTGTTTTGGTTTAGGTTTCTAATTTAATCTTAATTAGGAAAAAGATGTTAATTATTTTAGGAGTTATTTATGAATAAAACCAAATGCAAAAGTTGAATATATAGGAGTACAATAACATAGGAAGTTGAGTTACGTAGAAGTAGAGTAAGTAGGAAATCTGGATGTAGTACAAATTTTGTTAACTAGGTATCATATGATCAGTTAAAGATCCGAAACCAGTGGTATAGTTTCTCTATATAAACGTAAGCTAATTCATCAAAATCAACCAAGAATTTATCAATAGAAAATGGTTTTGAGGGTAACCTAACTCTAGGAGTTCAAAGGATTCTCTTCATTGAGCCCTGGTCATAGGCCACAGAGGTAAAAAGCAAACAAGCAAGCTTTCAAGGTTACTACAGGATTTTACAGTGAATAGACCTGTGACTAGATCCCAAAACCAGGACAGTAACACATACATGAGGTATATGATTCTAGGTAGTCCTTTAATGAGATTATCCTGCAAAAGATAGTAATTTCATGTTTTTGAAGTAGTGGACTTTAAAAGTGATCAATTTCTCAATTTACGTAATTCTAGTTATATGAATAATAGATCTAAAAGTGACGATCCCCACTATGATCCTTACATGTACAATACTAAATATAGTTGGACTAATCACATTAATAGTTGCATTGACTCTTATCTTCGTTCTCAAATCTGTATTGATAGTTCTATTTTAAGTGGTAGTGACAATTACAATGACAGTTACATTTATAATTACATTTGTAGTGAAAGTGGAAAGAGTAGTGAAAGCGAAAATTCCAATATAAGAACTAACACGAATCGTAGTGATTTAACTATAAAAGAAAGTTCTAATGATCTCGATATAACTCAAAAATACAGGCATTTGTGGGTTCAATGCGAAAATTGTAATTTCATGTTTTTGAAGTAGTGGACTTTAAAAGTGATCAATTTCTCAATTTACGAGTATAACTATTTTCATAGAGTGAGTACTTCATCAATGATATTCATAGGAACTTTGATGCATTTGATTTGCTTATGATATTTAATATATCAACTAGGAGTTCAAAGGATTCTCTTTATTGAGCCCTAGTCATAGGCCACAAAGGCAAAAAGCAAAAAAGCAAGCTTCAAGGTTGTTGCAGGATTTTACAGTGAATAGACCTGTGACTAGATCCCAAAACCAGGGCAGTAACACATACATGAGGTATATCATTCTAGGTAGTCTTTTAATGAGATTATCCTGCAAAAGACAGTAATGTCATGTTTTTGAAGTAATTGGGCTTCAAAAGTAATCAATTTCTCAATTTACGTGTATAACTATTTTCATAAAGTGAGTACTTCATCAATAATATTCACAAGAACTTTGATGCATTTGATTTGCTTATGATATTTAATATATCAACTAGGAGTTCAAAGGATTCTCTTCATTGCGCCCTAGTCATAGGCTACAGAGGCAAAAAGCAAACAAGCAAACTTCAAGGTTGCTACAGGATTTTACAGTGAATAGACCTGTGACTAGATCCCAAAACCAGGGCAGTAACACATACATGAAGTATATGATTCTAGGTAGTCTTTTAATGAGATTATCCTGCAAAAGATAGTAATTTCATGTTTTTGAAGTAGTTGGCTTCAAAAGTGATCAATTTCTCAATTTACGTGTATAAATATTTTCATAGAGTGAGTACTTCATCAATGATATTCACGGGAACTTTGATGTATTTGATTTCCTTATGATATGTAATATATCAACTATTTCTGGTTTTAGATCATTTGGAACTCTTCCACTCGGGCAGAGCTTTTGAAATTTGTGGATCAGCAACGTGCTAGCCAGGGTCCTGACGGTTCATATGACTTAACAGAGTCACATACTTTTGTGTATGAGGCATTGTCAAAGGAACTTTACATTGGGAATGTTTACTTGAGGGTCTATAATGACCAACCTGACTCAGAGATCAGTGAGCCAGAAGCTTTCTGTGTTGCTTTAGTTCATTTTATTTCATCTCTAGTCCATGGTGAATTTGCTGCACCATCTGGTGTTCAGAATAAACGTGATGTGAGTAGCTCATCACCTGAGACTTATGAGCTTCACAGCAATATAGCTGATGTATCGGCAGATGAACAGCATGTTCCTGATGAGGTGGCATTATCTGATGGAAGAGTAACAGACAAGGAAGGATATATCCTGATTAAGAACCTTCAATCTGGATTAACCTCACTTAAGGTACCTTCTTTTTTTCCCCCCTTTTTTGGCTTGTGAAGTTGTGATAACTTATTGTACCTGACATTTTTTCCTTCATTTGTAGAACTTACTGACAAACAATCCTAATCTGGCATCCATATTTTCTACCAAAGAAAAATTATTACCTCTTTTTGAATGCTTTTCGGTGCCTGCTGCATCAGAGAGCAATATTCCACAACTTTGCTTGGGTGTTCTGTCTCTCCTGACTACATATGCTCCTTGCTTGGAGGCTATGGTTGCTGATGGCTCTAGTCTTCTCCTTCTGTTACAAATGCTTCACTGTTCCCCATCTTGTCGTGAAGGGGCTCTTCATGTTCTATATGCTTTGGCAAGCACACCGGAACTTGCTTGGGCAGCTGCCAAGCATGGTGGAGTAGTGTACATTCTTGAACTTCTATTACCTCTCCAACGTAATGATTCTTCTTTGCTTGTTCCTTTTTCTTCCCTCTGTGAATGTTAATAGCTCTAACAATAGAAATGGTGATGTGCAGAAGAAGTTCCCTTGCAGCAAAGAGCTGCGTCAGCCTCTTTATTGGGGAGACTTATTGGGCAGCCAATGCATGGGCCTAGAGTTGCGATAACACTTGCAAGGTTTCTTCCAGATGGCATGGTTTCTATCATTCGTGATGGACCTGGCGAGTCTGTTGTATCTGCTCTTGAACAGACAACGGAAACTCCAGAACTTGTATGGACACCAGCCATGGCAGCTTCTTTATCAGCACAAATTTCAACCATGGCATCAGACCTTTACCATGAACAAATGAAAGGTCGTGTTGTTGATTGGGATGTACCTGAGCAGGCATCTGGGCAACAAGAAATGAGGGATGAACCACAGGTGTCACCTGATATTTGTATCTTTTGTTTCTATATCTAAATATTAATGAAGCTGATATCTGGTTTCATTTTTGGGTCACTAACTACATTCTTAAAATTTATAGTTCAATTTTATCTCAAAAAAAAAAAAACATTATCTTTCTTCTAGAGTACTCAAAGGTTATGGTGTTGCAGGTTGGTGGAATCTATGTCAGGCTGTTCCTAAAGGACCCTAAATTTCCTCTCAGAAATCCAAAGAGATTCTTAGAGGGACTATTGGATCAGTACTTGTCATCTATCGCTGCCACACATTATGAAACACATGCTGTTGACCCTGAACTTCCTTTGCTACTCTCTGCTGCTTTAGTATCACTTCTACGTGTGCACCCTGCACTTGCAGATCATGTTGGTTATCTTGGATATGTGCCAAAACTTGTGGCTGCTGTGGCTTATGAGGGAAGACGGGAAACAATGTCATCAGGGGAACTGAAAAGTGGGGGCCATGCAATGGAGAAAACATATGAACCTGATGATGGAACGACACAACCTGCACAAACTCCACAAGAACGGGTTCGCCTTAGTTGTTTGCGCGTTTTACATCAACTTGCTGCTAGTACTATATGTGCTGAAGCTATGGCAGCAACTAGCGTGGGAACACCTCAGGTATGTGATATATTTGTTAAACATATTACAAGTTATGCAAAGAAGTGAAGGAAAAATAGTGAAGTAAAAAAGTGATGAGTAGCTGAAGATTTGAATTATAAATGAGTTCTTAATATTATCATTATCGTAAGGTAATCGATTGGTCATGTTAAGACACTAAAAGAGGTTCTCTTATCTAGACACCAGATAGATTCTTAAATTGGAAATAGTTTCTTCATTCTCAAATCGTTCTTAAAATTTCAAGAAACTCAAAATTATTCTCAAAGATCAACTATATAATAGTATTGGCTTTTGGGTAGTTGCTTTTTCACCTTTATCCAAGTGAAAACATATATGTCACTGTTATTTGTGCTTTATGCTCTGCATTCATGATTTATTTGTCTTTATTTTCTAAAAGAAAATTATTATCTTCATATTGATCACTGATTCTGTTGGCGAACATCTTCAGGTTGTTCCACTTCTAATGAAAGCCATAGGATGGCAGGGTGGAAGCATTCTAGCCCTCGAGACACTAAAACGGGTGGTGGTTGCTGGCAATCGAGCTAGAGATGCACTTGTCGCACAAGGACTTAAGTGAGTACTTTTCTTGGCTAGATAGCCTAGATTCAGTAGTCAACCCATAGAAAGATGAATACCTGAATTTTTTGCTTTGTTCATATATTGTATGTTCTATTTACATCGTGTATTCTTGTAGAATTACTAAATAAAGCTTATGTCTGTTTAGATTCGTTTCTTATTTTATAGTAGCCGAATAAGTAGGATCCATATTTGGTTATGGGATCCACAAAATAAGGGTAGATTTTTTTCTTTCCTAGGATTCCCAGAGTATGATGATTCTTTCCTATTTTTTTGCTGACAGTTCGTGTGACCCTCTCCTATAGGTATGTAGTTATGGTGAATGAAGAAGGTAAGAAAAAAAAGTTATCAAACATGGTATTATAGCCACCTCTGAACCACTTCCAATAAAACCATATCAAATGACTAAATACAGGATCACAAGTGAGCACACCGCAACAGCCAAAGTCACATCCCATCTGAGAATTTTCCAGTAGGGACTAATGGAGGAATAGACAACCCCGACAGTGTCCATCACTGGCACATACTAAATGGCCAAATTATCTTTCATTATCCCAATCGGTGATGATGTTTGTATATAGAAAGGGGAGGGATGTTTATCTCACTGGAGTTGCAGTTCCACCATCAAAAGAAATCCAGAATAGTGGACTTAGAAAGCTGAGAACAACATGGTCATATCCTGGCTTTTCAACTCAATGAAAAACGAGATTGGGGAGGATTTCTTTCTGTTTGGATCAGTAAAGGAGGTATGGGATGCAACAAGAGAGACTTACTCCAAAGTAGACAACTTGTCTGATTTATTTGCTGTGAAGAGCATACTTCATGATTTGCAACCAAGGGACCTCAGTGTAACCCAATACTTCAATATATTGACCCAAAATTTGCCACAACTCGACATGTTTGAAGAGCATCAATGAAATTGCCTTGAAGATGGCTTAAAGTACAAATGAATTGTTGAGAAGAAACGTTTATACAAGTTCTTGCTTAGACTCAACAAATAACTTAATGATGTGCGGGGAAGAATCCTGGGTTCAAAACCCATACCTCATATCCGCAAAGCTTTCTTTGAAGTGCACATGGTGGAAAGCCGAAAGAAAGTGATGCTCGGAACCCCTAATTCATCGCAAATCACTGGAAGCTCTGTCCGTGCTACTCTAAATAATCGGAAACTCTAGGGAGAGACGAAGTAAAAGAAAGGGTGACCTTGGTGTAACCATTGTCGAAAACTAGGGCACACAAAGGACATTTGCTGGAAACTTCATGGGAAGCCAGCATATCAGAAACAGCCCCAGGACCTGACAGAACTGAGGGAGATTCACCACCTCAACTAGAACACTATTTAGTAAGCAGCATATGGAGTTTTTGCAGAAGCTGATCAACCTCCACCAAATAAATAGCCCCCTAATTGGTATTGTCTTAGTGGCTCATGCAGGTAATTCTATAACTACTATAACTATCAGCCAAAAATTAAACAATACTTTAGATTCTGGAGCTTCAGACCACATGACTTGTGATTTTCGAGTCTCCGAACTTATAACTCTTGCCACAATAATATTTATCCTCAAGAGTAACTGTATCCAAGAACAGTTTTCCAATTTTACATCTTATACTAAGGATGAAAGTGCAATTATTTTGTGGTACTATAAACTAGGGCGTCCTAACTTCAGTTATCTACAAGGGCTTGTTCCCTCATTATTCATCAATAAAGATTTTAAGAATTTTCAGTGTGAAATTATCAATTTGCTAAGCATACTCATAATCCTATCAGGTTCAAGCTTATGAAGAATCAAGCCCATTTTTAATTATTCATAATGATGTATGGGGTCTATTAAGGGTAAAAAATATTACATGAGCTTGATGGTCTATTATGTTTATAGATGATCACATTAGAATCACATGGGTATACCTTATGAGGATAAATCTAAAGTTGGGGAGATATTCCAAAAATTCAACGCAACTCTCTAAACCCAATTCTATATAGACATTCAGATACTTAGAAAAAATAATGTCATGGAATACTTTAAACATATTCTTGGAAGATGTCTACAAAACCAACGCATTATAGACCAAAGTTCATGCATTGCTACATCCCAACAAAATGAAGTTGCAGAAAGAAAGAATCGTTACATCCAAAGGTTGCCGGGTCACTCACATTCTCAACTCATGTTTTAAACTATTTCCAAGAGTAAAGTCATACTCTACCTTATCAACAAAATATCTTTTCAAGTACTAAATTTCATAGCACCTAGCTAAATCGTAATATTTGTACAACAATGTGATCAAAAACTCACACAATTTCAATTAGCATCAAAAACTTAATGTTAATATAAACCCTCCCTACTTAATCCATAATTAACCTATGATTGAAAATAAGGTAATAAGGATAAATGAATTTATTAAAACGTTATAAGAAAAACATTGATAAGTTAAAATCAATTCAGAAAAGAGATTGATGAAAATGCCACAAGTTATCTTAATAAGTAAATACCAATTTCCCTCTTAACAAGAAGGTTGAAGAAACCTCACTAGTTGACAAGTTAAAAACTTTGTATTTTATTGACTTCAATCTTGAATAAATACAACTGTGAATTGATGGTGTATTTATAGTATGGATCATGTGAATAATAAGGAAAAACAATTTTCTAAATTAATAATAAAATTACATAGGAAAATAAATATAAAATAGAATAGGAAATTTGCAACAATTAAGATAATTGCTTTTTAAAATATGATAGATATGATCTCCCTTTTCAAATAGAGAATATCTTAATTAATTATGGAAATGATTCAGGGAGGAATTAAGGAAGATTATGATAGGTTTGGAAAAAGATTAATTTCCCCTATAATCCTCCCAAAATTCATGAGATTCAATCTCCCTTTAAGGCATAGGATTTGTTTTCTTCTTTCTCTTGATTTCTTATGCGGTTTAGGAAGGAAATCCCCCCCCTGGTTGATTTCTCGAATGTGAAGAAATTATTTTCCCTTTCTTTGCTCACATCACTAAAAGTCGGTAAAATGCATCTTTATTGGATACGTCTAAAACCAGAAGGTTACCACTATTATTCCCCAAGCAACAAAGGTTCTATATCTCAATGGATGTGCCATTCTTCAAACAGGAGCTATTTTACCCCAAACCTGGCATTTAGGAGGAGGAAGAGCAACAAAAATCCCAGATTTGGGACTAATAGGGGTGAACAACCAACTGTGAGATCAAACAGGTGAAAACAACCAAGGTATGGAATCATAACCTACCTCCCAACACATTGCAAGACCTTGTCCTTGAACTCATAACCTACCCATGAGGATTGCTAAAAACTTTTGACCCCATGGCTGGCAAGAATAGGGTTTTATTGTGTCTTCAAGGAATAAGAAAGAGAATATAGAGCGACATTCATTACTTGAGCAAAGCCAAGAGTCCAATCCGAATGAGAGTTCTCATACTCAATCGGATAACATATTTGGGGATACTTTGAGTGAATCCATGATTATATAGAGCGACATTCATAACCTACCCGTGAGGATTGCTAAAAACTTTTGACCCCATGGCTGACAAGAATGGGGGTTTATTGTGTCTTCAAGGAAGAAGAAAGAGAATATCGAGCGACATTCATAACTTGAGCAAAGCCAAGAGTCCAATCCAAATGAGAGTTCTCATACTCAATCAGGTAACATATTCGGGGATACTTTGAGTGAATCCATGATTATATAGAGCGCATTCATAACCTGAGCAAAGCCAAGAGTCCAATCCGAATGAGAGTTCTCATACTCAATCGGGTAACATATTCGAGGATACTATGAGTGAATTCAGATTGATAATCGTCCAATTGCCGTAAGGAGAGGTAAAGTCATGCACAAATCATCCGTTATACAATTTTCTCTCATATAAAGAGTTGTCACCTCAATTTAAGGCATTTGTCACAAATTCAGATAACACTCAAATCCCCAAGTTAATTCAGAAAGCTATGAGTGTTCCAGATTGGAGGACAGTAGTGTTAAAGGGGAGGAAGGCAATAAAGAAAAATAGCACTTGGGAACTTACAGAACTATCTAAAAGAAAACAAACTGTGGGATGCAAGTGGATCTTCAATGTGAAATGCAAAGCTAATGGAAGTACTCAGAGATTTAAAGCTCGGTTAATTGCTATGATATTAACACAAGCTTATGGTATTGACTACCAGGAACCGGTTGCCCTAGTAGCCAAGTTGAATACAGTCTGTCTTGTTATCCTTGGTAGCTAACCTTGATTGGCTTCTTGCATTTTTTAATAGGAAACTTACAGGAGAAATGTACATGGATTTTCCTCGGGCTTTGAAATGCAAACAAATAGAAATGATATATATAAATTGAGAAAAATTTTCTATGGATAAAAGCAGTCTCCGAGAATTTGGTTTGATAAATTTGACAAAACTGTAATGAAGCATGGGAACACAGTCTTAAACTAATCAAATAATATTTGTAAACCACTCCTAGGATAGGAAATTAGCAATACCGATAGTATATGGATGATGTAATCTTAATGGGAATGATGAATTTGCACGTAAGAAGCTCAAAAGTATCCTGATCGAGGAATTCGAGACCAAAGATCTGGAAAGCTTAAATACTTCTTTGGGGTGAAAGTGGCCCTGTCAAGGAAAAGGGGTACAGTATCTCAAAAAAAAAATAGTCATGAGCCTGCTTAAGGAGACAGGAATGCTTGGTTACAAACAAGCAGAGACTCCTATAGCACCAAAAATCAAATTTGGAGCACAAGGAGAAAGCCATCCAATACATAAGGGACAAATATCAAGACCAGTTAGAAAATTGATCTATCTCCCACATGCAAGACCTGATATAGGATTTCTAGTGAGTGTAATGAGTTAGTTCATTAATAACCCATTGAGGAACATTTAGGGTCTGTTAATAGAATCCTAAGATACCTAAAGATGACCCCTGATAAGGGATTATACTTCTTCAAGAACTCTAGGAGAGACGTGGGAGTATTTGCCGATGCTGAGTAGGCAGGATCAGTCATTGATAACAGATTAACATCCGGGTATTATATGTATACACGTGATAATTTGGTAACATGGGAAAGTAAGAAGCAACCTGTGGTATCTAGAAGTAGTCCAGAAGCAGAGTTCAGGATTATGGTTCTAGGAATCTGTGAAGGAATTTGGCTTGATTGTGTCCTAAAAGAATTAGGAATTGAAAACTCCACTCCAATAAAAAATGTTTCGTGACAACCTCTAAGCAATAAGTATTGCTAAGAACTCAGTTCATCATGCTCATATAAAATATGTTGAGATAGATAAACATTTTATAAAGGAGAAAATAGAAGAGATCATTCATGTGGGTACCCATTCTTACAAGCCAACGGACGGCTACACCCCTACCAAATATTTACTGAGAAAGAACTTTGAAGATCTAAGTTCCAAGTTAGGCATGATTAACTTATATATTTCTAACTTGAGGGAGAGTGTAGAATTACTAAATAAAGTTTTTGTCTAGTTTAGATTTGTTTCCTATTTTGTAATGGCCAAATAAGAAGGATCTAGATTTGATTCTGGGATCCCACAAAATAAGGGTAGATTTCTTTCTTTCCTAGGATTCTTAAAATAAGATGGTTCTTTTCTATTTTCTGGTGAATGAAGAAGATAAGAAAAGAATTATCAAACAACAAACCCTTCAGCTACTGAATAGAAGTGTTTTCTGGATATATTTTTTGGCTATCCCGTTAACAATTTTGATAATGCTAAAATTTCTCTGAAGTTATGCTCTATTGTTGTAAAAGTTATATTTGGCAATAAAACACACAAGTTTCTCTCTTTTTGGAGAATGCGGTGATGGAGTGTTGTTGGATTCAGTTGGCTAAATTAGAGGCGTCTGTATGATGCCAGAAGTAGTTCTTTTGGGAATATATGAAAGCAAATACTTTGACATCTCTTGAGTCATGCTTAATTCTGTGGACTTATACTTAGTTTTGTTTTTTCATTAATTTTATTACCCCTGAAGAAAATTTTGGCTGTTGGATTTACACTAAATGGTGCATTCTGATATTTGAATACATCCTATTACACAGGGTCGGTCTTGCTGAAGTACTTCTCGGCCTTCTTGATTGGAGAGCCGGAGGAAGGAATGGACTTTGCTCTCAGATGAAGTGGAATGAATCTGAAGCATCTATTGGAAGGGTGCTCGCAATTGAGGTTAGACTATTACATCAATGGTGGTGCTTGAGTTTTCTGCTTGCGTAGTTGAATTTGTTAATAAAGCTCTTAATAATCCTAATAAAAATCTCAAGTATAGTATGTATTTGTGGATCATTCCAGCATTTATCCTCTTTTTCTTAATGTTAATTGGAGTTCCATTTTCTGAGCCATGTGAGCCATTTGAGTTTCTAACTTCAGTCATTTGAATTTTTTGATTCAGGTTTTGCATGCATTCGCAACGGAAGGTGCTCATTGTCTTAAAGTGCGTGAAATATTAAATGCCTCATATGTAAGTCCTTACTCCTCTTTTCTTCCAAGTAATTTGTGTTCTCAGGTTCAGATTTCAGTCAGTCCGTCCTGTGTCTTTTGTAATTGATGGACATGAACAAAAAAATCTTCATTATTGTTTTTTATGGTACTTAACCACTATTACGACTTTGCAATCTATTGATGGCATGTTTTAGTTCATTATTATCGTTCTATTTTTCTTTTGGACTTTCTAGCATGGGAATCAAAGTAGATGTGTTAGTCCTTTAAAAAAATTAAAAACAAAAAAGACAGATGCAATTGGGTGTTTCTATTATTGCTCCCGCCAAAAAATTTACTTCTTAGGCAATCCTAATTTTGATCTGTTTGGTGTATATTCGTTACTCAATTTCAGGTTTGGAGTGCTTACAAAGACCAGAAACACGATCTCTTCCTTCCTTCAAATGCCCAATCTGCTGCTGCTGGAGTTGCGGGTCTAATTGAGAACTCAGCTAGGCTTACTTATGCCCTTACTGCACCACCACAGATGTCTCAGGCGCGAGCACCTGCTTCATCGGGATCTGAAACCAATGGGAACCCGGATAGTATTTCATAGTATGAAGTGTGAAAGACAACATTTGGCGGCCATAAGCATAGTTACAGGAACTGTTATACATCACTTATCTGTATAGCTCACTGTACAGTTTGAATATTTTTTCCTCTTTTTCTCCTTGTCTGTCTCGTTCATGGTATAGACAATCAAGGTGGTGATTGCGATTTTCTGGGGAGATAAGTTAAAGAAGCAAGAAAATTTGTTATATTTTTTTTAATGTAAAAAAGAAACTCCAAGTAAATTTGTAAATGAGCTGGTTTTCTGCCCAAATTGCTACATAAATTGGCAAGGTTGATCGTGTGAGTCCTTCGTAAGCTGGTTGTCAATCGTGATTTGGTTTCTGAATTGGTTATTCTTTTCCTTGGACTAGCATAACAAAATTCTTAGCTCCCTTCTTCTCCGCTTGTTCTTTTCTTTGTGGATGGAAATAAAATAAAAGGCTGATTTAGACGTATGAATAATTCCATTGAATTTCTTTTCCTCTTGGACTGGTTCTAATTGTAGAACGTCAGTTGATTTGGGCAACTTCAGTTGCAATTTTCTCAGGCGCGTATTGTTCCTGTCCTGGTTCATGTTAGCAAATTGTGAATATCTTGACTACATAAATTTTTTTTTTTTAATAAATACATTTTATTTTCTAAAATAGATAAGTGGGTGAATAAATAAATGACAGGAGAATGTGAGGAATATGTGTTTATTCTGGTTTTTGTTTTAACTTTAAAAAATTGTAGGCCCTATTTTGAAAGTTCATTGGAAAATCAGATATACTTTTAATTAAAATAATTTTACCCTTAATACATTTTTTAGTCTTTCACGGTTAAATTACACAAATTTTTAAATAAAAATTTTACAGACAAAATTCATTTCTTCTAAACACACTTGTATAAATCTAATAACTGACTGTTAACAGTGTATTAGAATTGTCAATTACTACTGAAGAAAACAAAACCATGAGAAGACAAAAGGAAGTTGCCAACATGCTCATATCTAATACTAGTTCTTGTTTGGGTGGGTGGGTTTCTTCTCTTCTTTTTACCCAAAAACTATGATCTTATTTAAAAAAAAAAAAAAAACTTTTGATGAGAGTAAAGTTAAGAAAATATAAACAGATGTTCTGAATATATAACTTTGTATTATTAAAAGGTAAATAATAATGTTATGAGTATATTATTAATTAATTTTTGTTTACCATAAATTATTGAGGTACTTTTTATTTCAAAAATTAAATAATGATAATTTGAAACTAATTCAAAATAAATAGTGTTATTAAATTGAAATAAATTATTAGAATTATTGAATAATTTTAAAAATATTTAATGTCATGAAAATAATTTTAATTTTTTAATATTTTAACCAAAATTTCATGAATATAATAATAAATATTAAGACTAAATTTTACCAAATACAATACTTTTTTATTTATTTATTTATTATTATTATTATTATACTTTTTTGACAATCGATAGTAAAATCCTAATAATCTCAGTATGCTTCGTCACTAAAGTAGAACCTCATGTAACTTGATATTTCCCCGAGCCTACCTTTTCACCTTGGCTTGAAATTATATGAAATAAGACAGCATTGGAACTTGCAAGCTTCAATAAATTGAATTGAATTGGCTTCCCTTGGAATTTGTAATACCATTTCTCAAGGCATTTACCCTTTTCGTTTCTCCATTTATTTTTCCTTCAATTGTTTCCTTCTTATATCCGAAAATGTTACATTTAACATGAAGTGAGTTGGTAAGGTCATAATTGAAACACCCAAGTCTATATATACCCATGCCATGCAGACCCAAAAACAAAAACAGTAATAATAATAATAATAATAATAATAGTTTGGTGGACTGCCCAGAACCTCATCTCACAGCATCAAAGTTCTAAATTAAAAGGCATGGGGAAGACGATGAGAAGCAAAAAGGTGGTGGTGGTGGTGGGAGTGGTTTTAATGGTGGTGGGCTGGTTTGCGGCGTCTACAATGGCGAACATAGCGGATGACGAGAAGGATTGTGCGGATCAGCTGACAAATCTTGCTTCTTGTATTCCGTTTGTGAGCGGAACGGCGAAGAAGCCGACGGCGGAGTGCTGCCAAGACACTCAGAAAGTGAAGGCGAGCAAACCAAAATGCTTGTGTGTATTGATCAAGGAGAGCACCGACCCTTCTTTAGGGTTACCTGTCAATACAACTCTTGCCCTTCAAATGCCTTCCACTTGCAATATTGATGCCAAAGTTTCTGATTGCCCAAGTAATTTATTTTATTAATATTCTCTTTCATCGACATACAATATATATATATATATATATTTAATTAATCTTATTATAAAAATTGGGTTTTATTTGATATTTTGGGACAAAAAATATTCTGTTATTATAAAAAATTATAAATTAATTAGTGGATGTTTTGTGTTATAGGTATATTGAATCTCCCAGCAGATTCACCAGATGCAAGTATCTTCAAAGAAGCTGGTGGAGCTTCACCAACAACAAATTCTTCTTCTTCTTCTTCGTCAACACATTCTCCTTCTTCTTCGTCAACAGATTCTCCTTCTTCTTCTTCAACAGATTCTCCTTCTTCTTCTTCTTCATCTGAATCAAACTCAAAACCCACAACCAGCAACGGCGAAAAACTGAAGCTGAATATAAACGTTGCGACTTTCTTCTGGGTCATAACGGCGGCTTCACTCCCATCTTTTCTCATGAATGTAAATTAAGAATTAATCCAGTACTCTCTCTCTCTCTCTCTCTTCTCTTAATAAAACATAATTAATAAGTACTGGTGTGGTTCTATCAAATGTATCTACTTTCTCTTTCTCTTCTCTTCTCTGGGTCCATTAATAAATCAAGAAATTACCAGGTACATATATATATATATGTATATGTACGGTCCCGAATTTGAATAATATGTGTATAAATGTAA